GGATAAATGTCCTCCACTACAAATTTGTCCTACACTACAAATTTGTAGGATGTTTTGTTATTTTTTGATATGGTAGATGTAACTTCATTGTATATTGATTTCACAAATTCAACACAACTGTGTTACATTACATTGTACTACACTGATGTAATATGCTTCAATAAAGTAATATCATACAAGTTTGAATATTTAATATTTCTTCTCTTCCCATGAAAATTAATTTTGTTATGTAACACTTCAAGCAACACCCCTACCCCTATGTCATACACTGTAACATTTTCCACTATACCCCCACCCCCCTTCTGCGTTACATAATACTTGAATGACCCCTTTGATAAAAGGGTCTTTGGTCCGAAGGCCCGTTGGTCACAAGGGTCTTTGGTCCAGAGCAGTCCCTAATTTTAATGAACTGGATTTTTCAGGAATGTATGTTATATAATTATTGAAACCGTTTATTATGTCCAAGCATGTCCAAGTGTATACTGCAGGGCTCTTTGGTCGCCAAGTTAACTTAGGGACGTTCTTGACAACTGAATGTTCTTTTTTTTATCTGCTTCCTTTCGTGATTCGTTATTTTTATACTTATATATTAGGCCTATGTGACTTATTCTTTACAGTGTGACCTATGCTTTTGTTTTTGGCTTTAAAGAAGACTTGAAGATTTATACATATATACATTATATTGATATAATGTGATATGTATAAATCTTCAAATATTCAAGTGTTCTTTAAATATATATATTACATAGCCTATGGGATATGTAAATACGAGTACGTGATTGGTCGAAATGGCTTCACGTGACTAGCGCTACGAGGATCGGAAAGGGAAATATACCGTACTCACGCGAATATAAGCGCCCAGTTTTAATAAGTGCCCTTCTTTAATATTATAAGATTTTCTTTTTAGCAAGTCAATTATCCAAAGTTTCCTTAAGTGCCCCTTTGAGTAAGCGCCCCTCTTTAATCATAATTAGATTTTCTTTTTAGCAAGTCAATTATCCAATCAATCCTATTACTTTGGTTGTTGGCATGATTTGAGCTGCAGAGTATATA